CTGATAAGAGCATATTTATTTATTAAAATTACGCTGCATTCAGTTTCCTCAAGTGATGGTGATTTATCGTATCCACAGTGTGCTACAATGCGACATATTTAAGTCGCTAGAGTAATGACATGACACAGTGTCTCCTACCAGTCTTGCCTGATATAAATATAGAACACTGGCATGAGTCCCTACTTCATTACGATTGTAGATTTAATTAGTGTCACTAACCATACGTGTAGTCACCAGTTGCGTTACAACTAGTATTTTTTTTTTCAGAACGTGTACACTGCGCCATATTACAAATGCAATGATGCGTGAACTATCGCTTGAATCACGTTAATCTCCGTTCGTTCGACATTATTATTGTTACAACTGAACCGGATGTCGTTCGATGGATGAACCAAGCAACATATTACATACAATCACTGCGGCATCCATCGGTCACTCACCTCTAAACTCGATCACGTTTCTGCAACCTACGTTTTCCAATGCATACACACAGCCGCTAAATGGGCACCGTCCTGGGTATTCGAAAGTGTTGTAGCGCTGAAAGAAATAGTATGGTTCTATAAATATATGCATATATTTATATCAATATAGCTTGTTGAATGCAAAATGGGTATAACGCAAGGGTGCCAACAAAACATCTGTCGCTAACTACACTGATCATGCGCAATATATGGCTCTCGGTGAGTAAGTTTCCATGACAACTGCGAATCAAACCGGGGAATACAGACTCAAGTTATAATAGGCTAGCTTGTATATTTTTATTCGGTTTTTACTTGTTTGAACTATTTTTTACAACTCAATTAGCTGTAAGGATAGGATGTGAGACGATAAATGTTGAGACTGTAGAACGCATACACAAATACGATGAAACCATTACAAAAACCTGCAGCCTACATCTCATATTTTTCAAATTGAGGGCGCGTGTTATGGCGTGTACAGACAACTTGAACACATGATGTACAATACGTATAAGAGCTTGCACAAAACAGATTTGTTCACCAGAGACAATAGGACATTCTTTTGAGGAAAAAAGTTCACTGTTCGTATCCCGGATAGGCTATATATATACGTCACAACATACTATCAAATGGTGTATTTGCCTGCCTCATCTTCGTCAGACAATGACACCGGTGAGTAGGGTACATGTACTGCGAAAATGTTGCTTCGAGTCGACTCTTTGCTATAATGTCTATACGGTGAGCTGTGATGTATATGCTACAACCAAAAACACTGACGGAAATACGGTTTTGTGCGGAAAATTGGGCTACCAAACATGCCCACAGTGGCGTGTACATTAACATAAATCGTGCACGCATTAATAATTAAATTTATTACTAAACAAAATAAGAACAACAAAAATACGATACTGAATGAGCGATGTGACTGTTACTAAATCTCACACCGGCTACAAACTTATAATTTATTAGTGACAATCCTTTTACCTCTCCGACGGTAACACATAATTTTTAACAGCTCACAGAACCACACAAGAAGAGTAATATTAAAGCAACAGTAGCGATAGTTGATCGGGCAACATATGTGCAGTGTACGTGACTAACCATGGCGTCTGCGCATATGGAAACAATTCAAGACCGAGTGAGCAGCGACGTCCAAAAAACGATGTGGTATATCTGTATTGTTCGTTTTACCGACATAAAAATATTACTTATTGACCTGACCCTGACCTTAACATTGTTACTGACAGAAGTTTGCGCCAGTCGCCAAGTCACGTGCACATAACTTAACACGTTGTTATGACTACCTCCACGGTATCGGTCTTGCGTAAAAGAAACGCGTGCCAAGTTTCGTACCAAATCAATCGTTTGACGCCACCAACGGCCGTTATCACACGGACTTTCGGAAAGTGTAGCAAGAAATAATTACAACACATCGGAAGAAGATAAGAATAGCAAATCATAGTGGTTTTGTTTGGGATTTTGTGAAATAAATAACCACGGAGATTGATATTATCAAAATAATATTTATGCAGCTCGAATTTGTATTCTGAGATGTATAAAGCGTGTCATCACGTCTAAGCATCACGGAGATTGTCGTAGGGGGCGTAAAGACTTAGGGCAATAAGAGAGTTGGTTGAATATACACATCAAAATGGAAACATTTGTTTACACACTCTTTATTTAATGGTATATGCTAATGACTAACAACGTAATTCCATGTGATTATTTCATCGAATTCAGCTCGACCCAGTAATCATGCGCGTATCTTTATTTTATCTAGCAACAAAGCGTTTCAGTAAACTCGGATAAGTATATCTATAATAGTGATAAGTTAGATTATTAAAAACATTAAGTTCTTAACAGCAGTTGATGAAACACTTATCGGACTTTATATATATGGAGAAATTGTTATATAGAGACAGCTTTCTCTGCTTCTGCATTTTTGTGTTTTTTGTGTAACGTTTCATTCCGTTTCTTTAACGCGTGTATGTATATAGACAGACCTATGATTAGGATAATAGCTATAAGAATAACGATAATGAGAACGATTATACATATGCCGAGAAGAAGACGCGTATCCAACCAATCATCCTCTTCAATGGGCCCGCAGTAATACTCTTCTGTGTCGCCGTCGTCCGTCAGTCGCTTACACCAAAGCGTCGCTACTTGCATACCAACGGGGAAACCGTAGGATACTGTGCTGCCCCAGCCATGCAGAACGACGGAGTACTTGACTTTATTGTCTGTGTGGCTTATAGTATGTAGACCATGTGCGATGTCTAACTGGGCCGAGCAATAATCGGAACCACCCACGTTAAGTCGCCATGTTAGCTGATTGCGAAGAATTGATTGGTGGTTGTGGTTAAGTGCGGTGATGTCATCGCATTTAATATTGACGTTCAAGTGGTTATCTAAGGTTATTTTATCCTTGCCACTTTCCCCGCCCGTGTAGTTAAGAGTTGCGAAAGTTACCGACCCCGAATACTGCTGGAATGGGACAACGAGTACCATAAAAGGGTCCGATTTGGTATTGTCCACCTCTCCTCCTTTACTGTATTGCATCACTAACAAAGGCCGATCGGAGGATATTAACAGACTGTCTGTTGATGGCACATCGATCTCTAAAAAATCACCAGCATCGAGCGTGTGATTGCCGTAGTTACCGGAGATGTTGAAGAAAGTGTTTGACCGGGACGCAACTATACGGAAGACGTCGCCGGCAAAACGACCAAGTAACGGTGTGGTTACAAAAGTCGTACCCCATGCTGACACTGGTGGGATCTGTTCCACGAGGTGGTCACAAAACTGCGAGGCTGTCGGGATATTGGTACATTTTGACCCTGATATTAGACCAAATGGCTTGTCTGCAGTAACGTGCGTTCCGGTTAAATCAAAATTTCCGCTTTGAAATTGAGCGGTTTCTCTGGTTTGAAGTGAGAATGTCACGACGTCGCCCTTGTTGTACAACTTGCCATTAAAACTTACATCACCCGTTACGTTTACTGTCACCGTGGTATTGTCATGAGACCCTAAGACAACGAATTCCGAGTATCGATATTGTTCGGCTATAATCGTCGATATGGACGAGGACACGACGTAATACTCAGTGCCCAAGACATGAACCGGAAGCGCTAGGTAACCGTCAACGGAATCGAATGCTACATCGTTCATGACGTAGACAGTGACTTCCTCGTTAGCGGTTATTTCAATACCATTCGAAGTCGGCGGGTCTGAGGTTCCGAATAAAACCAGCGATTTCGGAATTTTAATCATTTTTGTTTCATCTCGTTGAACAGTAAATTTAGCGTTGAACCCTGTTG